GAGGATGGCCAGCTTTGAATGCCCAACTGTCTGGCTGGCGGTCGTGAGACCACGGCGACGAGCCCGCCCCCTCGAAGGTCATGGGGCAGCCCTTGTCTGCGTCGTGCTTGTTGTTGCCGATGTCCGTGCCGTGGTCGCCGTCGCAGTTGTCCTTGCCGATCTCGGTGTCGCCGCCCTTGCCTTGGGACTTGTCGTAGTCGTTGGAGCCGCGCTTGTCCTCGAACGTGTCCCTGGCGTCGCCAGCACCCGCGACGTCGGGGCTGCGACGCTGGTGCTTCGTCTGGGCGAGGGGCGCATCGTCGCTGTCATCGATGGCCGCATCGGCTGAGCTTCTCTTGGCGCCGACGTCCTTGTCACGGGCGTCGTCGCTGTCGTCGATCTCAACAACGGTGTCAGTGCGGCGTGCGTTGATGTCGGCTCCGCTGGCGGCCGCACCAGTGCCGACGATCTGGCCCTTGGAGCCGTCCGTGCCGTCGTCAGCGCCCTGGTCGACGCCCTTGGTCTCGGAGCCGTCCTGGCGGCGATCAGGGGGGGGAGGGGGGCACCGATGTCCGACGAGTGGCAGGGCGAGGAGGAGGAGGGTGATTGTGACCAGAATTGGTATCAGGATGAAAATGAACTCCCTGGGGGCCCCTCGGGGAACCACTGGCGAGGCTACCGAAGTTCGGCTTGAACCCGCATGGGGTCCTCCAAATCCTCCCTAGAACGCTCGCCCACGGGGGACTCGTCCTCAGGGTAGTCAGATTTAGTGTGTTTGTGTGTTTGCGTGCGTGCGTGCGTGCGTGCGTGCCTGCGTGAGTGCTGTGCGTGTGCGTGTGTGTGAGCGTGTGTAGTGTGTGTGTGTGTGGTGGGGGGAGGGTGGGTGCGTGTGTGCGCGCTGTTATTCGTTTCTGCGTCGCATGTTAGGTGTTGGTGCATGGCGCTGATGTTGCGATGCATATCGGCGTTGCTGCTGCCGTGATGCCAGTGTTTCTTGCGTTACCAACGGGCATGAGATGCAACGGGATGCAACATAATTCATTGTTTTTAGAATGCTTGTTAAATGCGTGCGTTTGTCATGCGTTCGCGATGCCGACGTTCAACCGTTCTGGGTGACAGAGGAGGGCCAGGGTGAGGATGAGGCGGGGAAGGATGATGAAAGATACTGAGGCCATTGATGAGATGCTGCTGCTGATGATGCTGATGACGATGATGCTGGTGATGCTGCTGCTGATGATGCTGCTAATGATGATGCTGCTGATGCTGATGATGACGTTGATGATGATGATGACGATGACGATGATGAGGATGATGATGATGATGATGATGATGGTGGTGATGATGATGATGATCATGATCATTATTTTTGGTTTTGCCGCCCCCAGGCGTTGTCGTTGAAGCCTCATGGGTCTTCCATGAGATGTACGAGCGCGGCCTCCATCATGGACGCGGCTGGCCCGTCCATGTCGCTCGTGGTGTTGGCCGTCTCGCCGTCGGCCTTCGTGTGCACGTGATCTGTGATGATCGTCTTGCTGATCGAGTCCTTCTTGATCGGGGTCGTCTTCATGCGTGGGGATGGGCTCCCAGCTGCGTCCGTGCAGGTCTTGTCTGCTGCCGCTGGTGTCACCTGCTGCGCCGCCAGCTTCTGCTTTGTCGGAGTTGCCGCTGCAGCTGGCTTCTTCGTCGTCGGGTGGTCGACGTGCTCCTCATGCGTGGAACGCTTGCGCTTGATCTTCTGGCACGCTGCCGCTGGCTTCTTCATCACGGTCATGCGCATCTTCTTCAGCGGTGCGTCGTCGGCGACGGCCTCGTCTTCCTTGTCGGCGTCTGAGGCTGCGTCGGCATCATCAGCATCTGCATCCTCCTCCTCCTCGTCCTCGTTGTCGCTGTCATGGTTCTCGCCAACGACCTGCTCGACGATCTCGGCGTCGCCCCTGTCGTGCTTGCCTGGGGGTGAAGCTCCATCAATCCTCCGCATCCTCCGTCTCATCATTCCCCTCCCCCTTTCCCTTATCCTATCTACCATGTCAGAGCCTATATGTGAACCTCTCTCATCCTCACCAGTATTTCCTCCTCCTCCTCCTCGTCCTCCTCTATCCTCCTCCTCCTCTATCCTCCTCCTCACCGCTCCCCTCCCAACCATCTGCCTACTCCTCTGCATCCGGCCCTCCTCGGAGAGGAGAGCGGGGTGGGAGTGCGATATTGGTCGCTCTATGCCTGCAGGCCGCTTGCGAACGACATTGTCGTGCTTCTTCATCTCGTTCTGCAGCTCGATCCTGCGTTTGTTCGCCTCGGCCTTCGTCTTGATCGTGCCATCCTTGAACTTCTCGATGATGTGCTTCTGCACGGCCTCGAGCGCTGCCTGCTCAGACTCGAAGTAGCCGCAGCTGATGTTCGTCATCTGCTCCTTGCCCTTGCCCCCCTTCACTGTGCGATGGACCCTGATCAGCTTGTCTGGGCCGCGGTCGGCCATGATGAAGGCCTTGACTTTCAGACCGTCTGGAGTGTCCGTCCAATCACTCATCCTGGACGAGTGCGAACGACATTTGTCAACCTCGGCGAACACACTCTCGAACACCCACTTGTCCTCGCAGTCGTCGTCGTTCTCCCAGTAGGCTGTGTGCTTGCCGTTCTCGTCGGGGCCTTCGATTCTTGCACACTTCTCTGGAGGCCCCGATTTCCTGTTGTTGATCGTCGGGATGCGGATCGGGGCCTGGTGGGTGATCTCATCGTATTTGTACACGTACGTCACGCTGGCGAACATGGGGTCTGACTGCTTGACGCCAATCTGCTCGAGAGGCTCGCTGAACCACTGTGGCCAGACCTTCCTCGTGAAGGTCGTGCTGGCGTGCTTGAGCATCGCGCGAATTCTCTCGCCCATTTCGATCGACCAGCTTGTCAAGACCGCGCCTTGGACGCCTGGCCAGTTCTTGTCGTTCCCGATCAAGTAGAGCGCATTCTCGAGTGACTTCTTGCTCAACCACATGTTGGGCGCCACGTTCTTCCTGATGCAGTAGACGATGTCGATGTGGGCTGCCATTCGATCCTTGTCGGGGCCTGATCTGCCCTTCTTCGTCGGGTAGTTGACGAACTCCGCGTTCGTCACGAACTGCTCTAGGTGCTCCTTGATGAGGCTGACGTCCACGCAGGCGTGCGGCGAGTCGGCCGAGACATCTGATGCCGTCGCGTCGGCCGCCATACCCCTGGCACTGGCCGAGCGTCTGGCGCTCGTCGCGCCTCTGTGCCAAAATGGCTATAGTTGTCTGTTATAGTTGATATTCCACCAGCTCTCTGGGCGTAGGTGGTTTAGGGATTCGGGGAGGGGTTTACCTCTCCCCTCCCACCCCTCTCCTGGACCTGGACGGGGGGCGGGGGCGGCGAGGTGTCAGGGCGCCCGAGAATGCCTCGACGAGGAAGCCAGCAGATTTGGTTTTATTATATTGTTGGCCTCAGTTTGGCCTCTTGGGGGGGGGGCAATGCAACTTGCGGCCATCCTCTTATCGGATCGATGTCCTCCAAGATGGCCCCAAGAAGCGCACATGCGATGGTCCCAAGATGGCCCCATGAGGCTCCCAAGAAGCAACAGGGAGGCTTCCAAGATGACCCCAAGCGCCCCTTCCACCCCCCAATGCGCCCAAGACGCCTAAGCCCACCAGGATCGCCACGAGACCCCCAAGACGTCCCAATCGGCCACCAAGAAGCCCCCAGAGATATTCCAAGAGGCTCCGATTGGCATCCACGCTTAGCATCACTCCTTCTACTTCTTCTCTTCCTCATCCTCCTGCTCCTCCTCCCCCCCCCCTCCTCATCAGATTCATCTTCTTACCCCCCACTCCCTCATCCATTCCTCCAGCCTCCTCCGTGTCAACGTCCACCCTGTTTCGCTGTTCTGCCGCCCACCTCTTTGCTCCCGCATTTCCCTGATCACATCACTCGCCTGGACATTGTTGCTGGATGGGCTGGTGGGGATACGCGAAGCGTATGGAGGTATTTCGTGTGTTTTAGTTGTGTGAGGCGTTGGGTTTCAACGAGTTTCAACGGATTTCATGTGTATTTCAACGTTGAAATGGGAAACTGCCGCTGGGGCCTTCGGTGGAGTTCCCTATGGGGCCACGAGATTTGTGAGGGGTGTGCCGAAACGGGCGCGGGTACGCCATGTGGACCCTGCCACAGGAGGAGAATGAGGAAACAGAGAATGATGAGGAGGATGTGGATGAGTAGGATGAGCACACACACACACAGATGCGCCGAGGATGCGGAGCAGGAGGAGGGAGGGAGGGAGGAAGTGAGGGAGGGAGGGAGGAGGGGAGGAAGGGAGGACGAGGGAGATGGGACGAGGATATCGAGGAGAAGAATGGGGAGGAGGGATTAGGACGAGGAGGAGGCTGACGAGGATGAGGAGGGCGAGGTCCTTGAGGTCCTCCGCGGCGACGCCAGCAGCAGCCAGCACCTGGGCAGCGATTGGACACATCCGGTGGCACGGGATACCCCGTGCCACCGAATGTGTCCAGTCAAGGGTGTATTACAGCATCTATGGCGCTCCTCTTCCTCCTCCTCCTCCTCCTCCGCCTCCTCCGCCTCCTCCCTATCCTTCATCTTCCCGCCTCCCACCTCATCCTTGCAACCCTCGGGGCCTGCGCCATGTCGGCAGCCTGGCCGCGCAGCCTGGCTGCCTGGGGAGGGGGTCGAGGGAGTGAACCGATCGATTGATCGATTCACCCCCTCGATTGATAACTTTTTGTCGATTTGTATACATGTGTGTTAGATTATAGAATGAATATATATATACACATATATGTTTGTTTGTATATGTATGTATGTATGTATGTATGTATGTATGTATGTATGTTTGTAGGTAGGTAGGTAGGTAGGTAGGTAGGTATGTATGTATGTATGTATGTATGTATGGATTTATTAATGTATGTATGTATGAATGCATGCATACATGGCGACTTTATGTTTTTATGTATGTATGTTTGTATGTATGTACGTTTTATATACACATATAAATATGCATGTAGATTTACATAACGGTACCTCGATGAGCTTGCGCCAGCTGTCGTTGGACAGCTGCACGCAATTGATGTACGCGTGCCCGTCCTGGAGAGGCTGGACGAACGGGATCTCGACGAGGTCGAGATCCGTTGTGGGCGTCGGGGCGGCTGTCGATGCCGCCGAGGCTGCTCCCTGCTGCTGCTGCTGCTTCTGCTGCTGCTGCTGCATAGCGCCCAGGCTGCTGGGCGAAGGTCCGCTAGAGGGGACTCGAACATAAAAATGCAGCCGAAGGAGGGGGGGGGGGAAATCAGCACATCTGAATAAACCAGCATGTATAGTGTATATTCAACACGCATAGATGTTTCCACGCATTTTCAACACTTGACATCGTATGTAATGATATACACATTGGTGCATGCGCATGTAGTTTTTTATGTTGCATAATCGTGCGTGTAGTGATTCAGCCCGGGAGACCCTCAGGGCAGGGGCCGTCAAAACGAAGGGGGGGAAACATTTCGGGGGCCACATGCAAACCCGGAGAGGGTGAAGTGAACCCCACCCTCCCCCTCAGAAATCGTGGGGGTAGGGGTCGGGTTCGCATGTGCCCCCCTAACATTGTACCAGATTTGGGTCCGAGCCGAGGACCGATTCTGAGCGGCTGTGGCCTCCTCCCCTCTCCTGTGCGATGCTCTAGGGGCCGCCACCAGCGCAGGCCCCGTGGCCGCCTCCGGCCAGAACGCACACAATATATGATACAGTCGTACCTGAGCGACACGCTTGCGCGAGCAGACGGCTGCGCGCAGCGTGCTCCTCGCTGCCCGAGTTTCCTTTCATGGCCGCGGCAGCTCCTCGAGAAAAGCGGCACACGTCAGCGTGGACCCACGACAGGCAAGCAGCATGACCCTTGCAGCGCGTGGGCCCCCCCGTCCGCCCGCCTCTGCGGAGGCATGGACTCCCTTCCCCCCTGGGGGCGTTTTTTTTCGCATCCCGAGCCTCGGAGCACGCGTGGTGCGGGGTCAGCGCTCCCAGTCCAGCTCAGAGAGAGCCTCGCCTTCGAGGATCGATGGGGTCGGCACCCCTTCCTCGGCGGAGGTGGGCGGCAGGAGTACTACGGGGGCGGAGGGGCAGGCGGAGGTTGGTGGAAGGCTGGCGGGAGCCAGGGGAACTAGAGGCCGCGACCCCAAGATCGGCACGAATGAAATGTGTACGGGAAGAATCGGTACGAAGACCGACAGCAGTTCTTGTTCCATCAGAAAGGGGTTCGCTGTTGGCGAGGCCACGGTCGTGGTCCGTTTGAGACGGAAGTGCGCCTGCCCAGCAGCGGCCGCTGCTTGTTTCGGACAACATTTGTTGTTGGGCATCGTGCGCATTTCTCCTGTACCTACTTGGGCATCGAAACAAGAGATGACAACATCTTGGGGCTCAGGGTTTCCCGAGCCCGCTGTGTGGAGCCCACCCCCCTACGGCACCCTCGCTTCGTGCCGACTGGCGGACAGCGCGTGCGTTGAGGGTTGAACGCCGCCCGCGCCAGAATCGGCCCGCGGTGTCAGGAACCAATGCCGCGGTCGACACGGCGCGAACCTGCCGTACCCTCCCTCCGTTGACCCGGGTTTCGGAGCTGCGATGCGGCAGGCGGGGGCACGCGACGTGGTCCTGGCTTGCCCGCATTCTCGCTGCTCGGGGGCGGCGCGGCTTCGAGAGCCGGGTCCTGACGGCCCCGAGGCCTGGCAAGAGCCCCCCGAGGCCGAACATGGGAGACCACCAACTCCGCCGTGGTGCCTGCTGGCGGCGAGCGAGGGGAGGAAGCGAGAAGGAGGAGGGCCTTCTCAGAAGGCGGCGGGGCTCCTCAGAAGCCCTCTGGCCTCCTGAGAGGCTTCCTGCGTTTGCGGGGAAGGCTGAGGACTGCGGGGCGGGAGGCCGGGAAGAGCCCAAGACGTTGACGCTTGCGAGCTGGGGCGTGGTTACAGCCTGTCGCGCCGACGCGTGTGATGGGCAGATGTTCCACCACCACCACCACCAGATGTAGGACGGGGGCGACGGGAGGACGAGGAGGTCCTACTCCTCCTCCTCCTCCTCCTTCTCCTCCTCCTCCTCCTCCTCCTCCTCCCCCTCCTCCTCGGAAGGCTGGGGAACTTCCGAGCCGTCTGAGAGGGGCTTCTCCGACGCACCTCCCCCGCCCGCGGGCTCGCCGTGGTGCTCGACGACGCCCGGGCTCCTCCGCCCCCGGGCCCAGACTTATGTCGGGCCTGTCCCCCTACAGGGGGATTTTCGACGAAAGATAAAAAATAACCAAAAGATATTCCAAAGAGGTAAAACATATTCAACAAATAGTCCCCAGACTATTGTTGGATATTTTGTTTATAGTTTGGAGGTTTTTATTTTTCCTCGAAAATCCCCCTGTAGGGGGACACGCCCGACTTCAGCCCAGGCTTCCTCCTGGCGCGCGCTGGTGAGAGCTTGGGAGCAAACGCAGAAGACGCAGGCCCGACCGCAACCCCGCGGGCTCCAGAGGCCTCTCCTGGCAGAGCACTGTGGATGGCCCTGGGGGCCCACGAGATAGCCTGCGCGCGGGCAGAGACGGGGGAGGTGCGCTGGGACTGTGTATGTATGTGTGTACAAGATGGCTTTCGGCCCCAGCGTGCCCGGGTTGTGTATCGTAGGCCTTCCCAGGATGTTCGTTGGGAGGTCGCGGGGGGCCTCTTTGGGTCCGTTTGGAGGCCTCTTGGGAGCCGTTTTGGCGCCTCTTGGGATGTCTTGGGGGCCTCTCGGGGGTCTGTTGGGAGCTATTTGGGGACCTCGTGGGGTTTCTTGGGGGCCTCTTGGGGGCCTCTTGAGGCCTCCTAGATCCTTATGGGACCGAAGGCTCGAAGTGTCTGTTCGTGTTCCCCCTCTGGGGCCTCTCTTGGGGCTGTCCGTCAAGGGGCTTTCTGGGGCCGTCTTGGGGCCCTCTTGGAACCTCTTGGGTCCCCCTTGGGCCGTCTTGAAGCCCCTTTGGGGGCCTCTTGGGTCGATCTTGGGGGTCTCTTGGGCCATCTTGGATGCTGTGACAGCACACGAGGCGAGTATAAATGAACGTATTCTTCAGGGAGTGTGATGATTTGTGCTTCTGGGGGCTCTTTTGGGGGATGCTCTCGGGGCCCTCTTGGGGCGTCTTGTGGACATCTTGGGCCGTCTTGGAGCCACAGTGGCACCATTGAAGCTGTCTTGGACCGCTCTGGGGATTAGTGTAGCCATCTGAGGCGGTTCTTCAGGCAGTCTCAAGAGTTCGGGAGGTCGTCTGAGGCCGACTCAGCAGCTCCCAAGAGCTCCCGGCAACTCCCGGAAACTCCCGGGCTTCCCAGGAAATCTCCGGGAATTCCCTGAAAACCGGAAGTCTTGGTTCTTAAGAACCTTGTAGCCACTCTACCCCGCAGGCCTGCAGGGCTGCATGAGCCTTGGGGCACCCCACTACGTCCTTAAGGCACGGTGGCTCACGCAATGGCCCTCCCGAGGCTCGGGTGGTGGTTGGCTTGCCCTTCTCCTCAGCAATGGGGCGGTTGGGCCCAAGCAGCGGTCTCAACGTGGACATGGCAGCATGGGAGCCCATCGAAGCCCCGCATCTGGTAGTGCCCCACCTGCGACCTGAACCGCATCAAGCACCAGTGCGCGGTGTGCGGCATCGGGCGCTCGTAAGCGTCGGCGGCCAAGGGCGACGAGGTCATCCCCCCCAGTGCTGCGAATCAAGTGCGTAGTCAACTCGAGGAAGTTGCGTCTGCGCTGACTCGCGCTGCACCCGAGGCTCTGGAGGCTCCTGTTGCGGCGTCTCCCGTATACCGCCGCCTCCGACGGACACGCGGAGCGCCAAAGCAAATATGCAGTCCCTCGAGGTGGCTCTCCCTCGAGGAGGAGGAGGACGAGGAGGAGGAGGACGAGGAGGAGGAGGACGAGGAGGAGAAGGGGCAGGAGGAGGAGGGGAAGGATGAGGAGGAGGAGGAGGAGAAGGAGAAGGAGGAGGAGGAGGAGCAGAGTTTGTCGGAGGGCCCGGCCTTTACCCCCTCCAAGGTCGGGCATCCTTTAACTCCTCCTTTACCCGCCTCCCTGTCGTGCGGAGCGCGCCAGAGGGGGCGACGGAGGCGCCGCTGGCGGGCCCAGCGCGAATCCAAGAAATCCGCGCGGAGCGCAAAACGTTTACGTTTATGTGTTTTTTCTTTCTTCTACCAATGCCCCCACCGTACGGGCTGACTGAACCCAGCTCCAGTCGCTCGCGACCTCGCTGCGGGCCGACACGCCCAGCGTGAACACCCGCTCCCCACACCGGGGCGGCTGGCCACCGCGTGGCGGCGCTCGCCCAGGGCTTCCGGCACACCGCGGGCCTAGCTTTCAGTCGGGCCCGTCCCTCCACAGGAGTACGGTGGGGACGTTGGTTAAGGCATGCGCCCAAGAGGCCGCGCACCCTGGAGGATTCAACATCTGATGAGGGCGGCGGTGAAATCCATGGCCAAGGTTCGATTGGAGTTCCACCGGCCTCCAGACCCTGGATTCCTTCGCTAAGGGTTCCTTCTCCGCTGCCCCCACAGTGTTCGAGAATAGTCAAAAACAATCGGGGGACGATAATTCGAATGTTCTTTGCTCTTTTTATACTTGTCCTTGACAATCCGCCTGTAGGAGGACACGCCCGACCTAAGCCCAGCTCGAGCTGCCCGCGACGCTTCTGTGCCACGGCGCCTCGAAGGCGAACAACTTCCGCCGGAAGCCGCTTCCAACGGGGAGTTCATCGATGCTCCACAGCTTCGCCACAGTACCAAGAAGCCGCACTTCAAGCAGTCGACGCTCTTCGGCTATGGCCCATGGCCTGGCGTGCGGGCAAGGCGTGTGTCAACTCCACTGCAGCTTGGAGTTTCGGGCGCTCTTTCGCAGAAGCGTGAGGCGCGGTGGATATGGATCAAGGTATGGCCTCTAGAGGGTCAATGTTTATCCATATCCAGTGCGCCTCGGCCTTGCGGCGCCGTTTCCAAGAAAGAAAGGCCAAGACGTTTGGATACGTTTACAAATATTGCTCGCATGGCGGCCGTCCGAAAGAGCATGGCCCAAACAAAAACGAATCCACTCAAGCGCCTATGAGGCAGGCCAGAATGGCCAGGTGTCCCGATCGAAGTGTGCCTCTGGAAACGCCAACACGCAGTATCGCCGCGAAGGTTCCCTTGCAATCACTCGCGGCACTTCCGCCCTCTTGCTTGGGAGGGTCCAGGTGTTTGAAGTCAACTGCCACCATCATTGCATTGACGTGTAATGCGCTCAATAAGGGCGCGCTGCGTCGCTGGATGTCCGTGACGGCGTGCCTTACACGATGTACGTGGGCAGTGCCGACCTTGGTGACCAATATGGCAGCCATGTTTCCTCCTGGTTGTCGATACTTGCTTGGAATTCGTTTGGGTTTTGACGCGGTCTTCTTGTGGTTTGCGGACGCGCCCCTACGGAGGCCAGCCCTGCTTGCGTAAAGGATATGGCTTGGGATGTCCTTAATCAACGTGTCTTTGATCCCGTGAATAATCACCCCAAGCATCTTCGCATTTCTGGCATCGATGTCAATGGCCGTGTTCAGGCCCGTGCTCCTTCTCTATGCCCGCGCGAGCCCGAGGCGTTCACTGATAGCGGGCATAGGCTTCTGGACCACCGTACTCAATTTCCCATGCTTGCCGAAAACACGTTTTCTATGCCGCAGTGTGGACGTGGCGTTCCAAGCGTGGCCATACTGCTCGGATCGATTGTGCTCTTCCTGGCATTGAAGACGCGGGTGTGATGGTCAGTTCGTACGTCGTGCCTGGAGTGGTTCTGTCAGGCGCTCCCACCG